GATGCTGGCATCGGCCGGAGGAGATGGCCGGGGACGCTGCAGGGGACACATCGCGGGAGCGAAGGACAAGGTAAGTGCTGCAGGGACCCCCTGAGCAACGCCGCAGGGTAAGCCCGAGTGTAGCTCGGGGTTACCGCTTGTGGTACTGAAATTTTACCCCGAGCTACACTCGGGAATACCGCCAAGGAGGTTACAGTAAATGTCTGGGCAAAAAGTTAAGCAATACATGTGCATTTCCCATCTTTTATCCCTTAAAGTGATTGTAAACCCTTACAATTACAATTTTGCAAAGCGCTGCGCAAACTGTTGGCACTATATAAATCCTGTATAATAATAATAATAATTTACTCAGCAAAATGACCAGGTGATACACAGAGATGAAACAAATCCTCCTACATAAGTTGTACCTGTTTCAAAGCCATTCAAAGTACAGAATTTACCCAGCATTTCTGAGCTCCAAAAGGCAGGGGTGGAGATCTGATGTTATACACTGCACAGCATAGGCCAGGGAGCTGAGTGTCATCTGAGACCTGAGTGGAGGGAATGGAAACACACCCCCTCTACACAGTCACTGCCAAGGCTGTCAATCACAGGCTGTCTGCTGGAGCTCCCTTCCCTCTGGAGTCAACATCACCCGTCAGGAGTAAATCATACAGATAGTCTGGAGTTGGCCTGTTCTCCCTGTGCCTACATGGGGGGGTTGTCATTAAAAACACAGCTCAATCGGGGGGGGGGGGGGGGGGGGGGGGGGCAATTACTGGAACTGATCCCCTGTATGGCTCTCTGAAAGCCAACGGGAGGGAAAGGAGAAGAAGCCAGGTTTTCAGCTTCTGCAGAGAGAGCCATACAGGGGATCAGTTCCCATAATTGCCTCCCCGCCCCGCCATGCTCATCACCCTCCCTGCCCACATCTGATTCACCCAGCTGCCTGGGCCCCCCTGCTTCCCTGGGCCCCGTACAGGAGGGATGGTGGTACCCCCTTATCCATGGCCCTGCCGGTAATGTACACAAGTACCCTTAAGAAAAAGTCAAAGGAAGTGACGAAACGTGTCAGGGATACGGGACGTCTGACGCATCGACGTTCACCGGAAGTGCGATCGCGGCCATTTTGGAAGTGGGAACATGTGGTTGTTCCCTTGCTTCATTCATACATTGTCTCTGCCATGAGGAGCTGTTTTTCTCCAATCTTATATGTAAGTCACTAAATAAATTTATTACACTTTATCCACCTTATCTAATTGCGGATTCATTTATGAGGGAAATGGAGGAGAGTTCTAAAGATTGAGTTGGATCCTGAAGAAAGATGTCGTCCTAGCCTATGATATGCCCTTCTGAGATATTTATAGGGTAATTATTCACTGCTACATGAGTTTGAATGCTATATTGTGGGCTTAAGGTGACCACTGTTGTTGTATTTAGTGTGTTTTATACACATTTGAGTGACTCACGGATTTGTTGCAGTGGACACAATTGGAGTGTTTATCACGTTTGGAGAATTTGAATATATATATATATAAATATATATATATATATTTTTCCCACTAGTTATGTGTTCTGCAAGACTCACAGTGAGTGGCACAAATTAATTTTATAAAGGGTATGACACTATTTTGAGTTTGTTTTTTTTGGAGGTTTATGAGCATTGAAAACTTCACGGATTAAGAAAGAGATTTATTTTGAAAGAAGAAAAGACTTTTACGTATGGTGTTTAAGACATTGGGGACATTTTGTATGTTTACTTGATTTTGTATAAAGAAAAGGTGTTTTATTTATATTTTAATGTACACAAGTACCCTTGGCCTGCATTTATATGGTCACTGATCTGCTCGGTGAACCTGAAACCCCAAAGAGGAATATTATCACGCTTTATAAGCTCCAGTATAAATGATACCACCCTGTATACCTCAATGTGAGCCCCGTGTGTCTTCTCTCTGGGTGTGATCACTTTCACATCAGATCTGATCAATTCATCATCAATGCTCAGAGAGAGACTCTGTCCATCCTTGTATTATTTTGCCTGTCAATGGAAAATCAGAAATAATTGCATTATGAATTATTATATATTTACATAGCACTGTCCTCTTCAGTGGCATTGTATAGATTGTGATTGTAAACCCTTTATATATACCCAGTGAAGTGACTGGCCTTAGGTGATACAGAGATTAAATAAATCCTATTACATAAGTTGTACCTATTTATCTGTGGTCTTCTCCTCTCTACATCTGTTCTAAGTCCAGAATTTATAAAGCTTTTCTGGGACTTCAGAAGACAGGGGGCGGAGAGCTGAAATTACACACTGAAGAATTCAGAATTGAGAGATGATTGGAGGGAACAGACCCCCCTGCTCAGAGAACAGAGCTGAAGCTGTCAATCTGCTGCAGCTCCCTCCCGTCACCATTTTTTCTCTTGGTGTCAGGAAAACTTGTCAGAAGTGATTAATGCTGATAGCAGAGGAACGAAGCAGCAGACAGACATGATACTTAGTGCTCTGGATTGAGACAAGTACACATTATAGAGCAGTGGTTCTTAACCTTTTTGGAGGTACTGAACCCCACCAGTTTCATATGCGCATTCACCGAACCCTTCTTAATTGGAAAAATAAAATATGATTTTTAAAATTCAAAACATAGGTATATATTTATACATAGGTGCACAAAATGAACAAAACCATTAAAACATGATTTTCACACAAAAACAAAATAATGAATATTTACCGCAAATCAGTGTGACTTCTGCTGTTGTCTTTCAGAGGCCAGTTCAGAAATGCGCGGCATTACCTTGGCAAGTGCCACTCTCATGTCATTTTCGCAACAAAGTCTGTTCCTTTTCTTCGTCTTTATGTCCAGCATCCTCGAAAAGGATTGCTCGCAAAGATATGTTGTATCAAACGGTATGAAAATTCATCCCCCATATAGTAATTCATCCCCCATATAGTAAATTCATCCCCCATATAGTAATTCATCCCCCATAGTAATTCATCCCCCATATAGTAATTCATCCCCCATATAGTAATTCATCCCCCATATAGTAATTCATCCCCCATAGTAATTCATCCCTCATAGTAATTCATCCCCCATATAGTAATTCATCCCCCATATAGTAATTCATCCCCCATAATAGTAATTCATCCCCCATATAGTAATTCATCCCCCCTATAGTAATTCCTTCCCCATATAGTAATTCCTTCCCCATATAGTAATTCATCCCCCCATATAGTAATTCATCCCCCATAGTAATTCATCCCCCATATAGTAATTCATCCCCCATAGTAATACATCCCCCATATAGTAATTCATCCCCCATATAGTAATTCATCCCCCATAGTAATACATCCCCCATATAGTAAGTCATTCCCCCCATATAGTAATTCATCCCCCATATAGTAATACATCCCCCATATAGTAATACATCCCCCATATAGTAATTCATCCCCCATATAGTAATTCATCCCCCATATAGTAATTCATCCCCCCTATAGTAATTCATTCCCCATATTAATTCATCCCCCATATTAAGTACCCAAGTCCCCCCTGTGTCAATTCACTTACCTTTGCTCCGCGCGTTCCTCTCGCTGTATTCCCCCCCGCGCCGTTCCGGTCTTCAGGGCGGACTGTGAGAGGAGCCTAGCTCCTCTCACGTTCGTCACGCTGCCCCGCCTACACACATCCTGACAGCCAATCACTGGCTATCAGGATGTGAGTGGCAGCGAGACTGGCCAATCATTGCATTTGAGTCCCTGCCGCCCGAGAGGAGGGAGGGGAGCGGGGCGCCCGGCACACAAGAGCCGCGGCTTGCCGACCACTGGGCTAAGCGATGTTGCGTGACCACCTGCAGCCAATGATGGACAAGCGGGGCATGTCATCACAAATCATATGAGTCGGGTGTGGGTCACCTCCGCCGAACCCCCGAGACTGACTCACCGAACCCCTGGGGTTCGATCGAACCCAGGTTAAGAACCACTGTTATAGAGGGATATACATTGTTCAAAGGGTTAACAGCCACTTTTAAACTCAACATATTTGTTACAAACTGACTGTACAAACTCCTTTAGCTCTACGAATGACTATGTTGTACAAAGAGCCTGCTGACTGGATACAAATTCATTGGTTAGTTTAGGCAGGTCACAGACATATTTTTGGTAAGTCTATAGCAGTGATGGCGAACCTTTTTGAGCCCGAGTGCCCAAACTGCAACCCAAAACCAACTTATTTCTTTCAAAGTGCCAACACTGCAATGAAACCTGAATATCGAGCTTTTGGTTTAGAAAAAACAACTCGTACAGTAGTGCAAACTAATTAACAGTACAGGGATGACCAGAGACTGCGGACACAGTACAGGGATGACCAGAGACTGCGGACAGTACAGGGATGACCAGAGACTGCGGACAGTACAGGGATGACCAGAGACTGCGGACACAGTACAGGGATGACCAGAGACTGCGGACACAGTACAGGGATGACCAGAGACTGCGGACAGCACAGGGATGACCAGAGACTGTGCGGACACAGTACAGGGATGACCAGAGACTGCGGACAGTACAGGAGATGACCAGAGACTGCGGACAGTACAGGAGATGACCAGAGACTGCGGACAGTACAGGGATGACCAGAGACTGCGGACACAGTACAGGGATGACCAGAGACTGCGGACAGCACAGGGATGACCAGAGACTGCGGACACAGTACAGGGATGACCAGAGACTGCGGACAGCACAGGGATGACCAGAGACTGCGGACACAGTACAGGGATGACCAGAGACTGCGGACAGTACAGGGATGACCAGAGACTGCGGACAGTACAGGGATGACCAGAGACTGCGGACACAGTACAGGGATGACCAGAGACTGCGGACACAGTACAGGGATGACCAGAGACTGCGGACAGTACAGGGATGACCAGAGACTGCGGACACAGTACAGGGATGACCAGAGACTGCGGACACAGTACAGGGATGACCAGAGACTGCGGACAGTACAGGGATGACCAGAGACTGCGCACAGTACAGGGATGACCAGAGACTGCGGACACAGTACAGGGATGACCAGAGACTGCGGACACAGTACAGGGATGACCAGAGACTGCGGACAGTACAGGGATGACCAGAGACTGCGGACAGTACAGGAGATGACCAGAGACTGCGGACAGTACAGGGATGACCAGAGACTGCGGACAGTACAGGAGATGACCAGAGACTGCGGACAGTACAGGGATGACCAGAGACTGCGGACAGTACAGGAGATGACCAGAGACTGCAGACAGTACAGGAGATGACCAGAGACTGCGGACAGTACAGGAGATGACCAGAGACTGCGGACAGTACAGGGATGACCAGAGACTGCGGACAGTACAGGGATGACCAGAGACTGCGGACAGTACAGGAGATGACCAGAGACTGCGGACAGTACAGGGATGACCAGAGACTGCGGACACAGTAACACAGGGATGACCAGAGACTGCGGACAGTACAGGAGATGACCAGAGACTGCGGACAGTACAGGGATGACCAGAGACTGCGGACAGTACAGGGATGACCAGAGACTGCGGACAGTACAGGGATGACCAGAGACTGCGGACAGTACAGGGATGACCAGAGACTGCGGACAGCACAGGGATGACCAGAGACTGCGGACAGCACAGGGATGACCAGAGACTGCGGACAGTACAGATGACTGCTGACCTTTGGGGAGGGAGGGGGAGCGGGTACCTGAATTTGACAGGTACCCGCTCTTACTTCCGCAGAGTTTTTTTTTTTATCTTACCTGTTCCTTTATCCAGCCGCGCGCTGTCTTCCCGGCTTCTGTAGTGTGGGCGCTTGTCGGACAGCCGGATGCCCAGTGCGCATAGCGCGAGAAGCGCTGCGCTTTGTGATTGGTCCAGCGGCTTCTGGGATCTGTCATGTGTCCCAGGTACCGCCTTACCATTCACAAAGAGCACTGCTTCTTGCGCATGCGCACTTGGGACCCGGCTGTCACGCACACTACAGAAGCCGGGAAGACAGCGCGCCGCTGGATAGAGGGACAGGTAAGGTCCCACTGCAGAGCTGAGCGGTTGGCCCGGTATTCTGACACGGCGGCGGTGGAAATACCGGACCGGCCGCTCTATATTCGCTCCATAAGACGCACTGACATTTTTCCCCCTTTTTTGGGGGAAAAAAGTGCATCTTATGGAGCGAAAAATACGGTATTCTCCTGGCGTGCCCACAGATAAGGCTCGGTGTGCCGGCTGTGGCACGCGTGCCACGGGTTCGCCATCACTGGTCTATAGCATTGCATAGAGCATGGGGTATTGAATTAAAATGCACCGAGGTCCGGGCAGTACAATTTGCATGCATCAGAGGTCCGAATCTCATGTAGGCCCCTGTGGTGCACTTTTGTGTGCGCCAAACCACATGTTGCTGCGGTGCGGTTTTTGTAGAAAAGGGTCGGGGACTTCTTCAGGTTTCTAGCAGTTGTGCTGACCTACCCACAACGTGTGCACCAAATTCACATGTACAGATCTGAACCTGAACTCACATCAGTGTCCTCATTCCCCGCTGCACATCACAGTCCCCTCCTCATTCACAGAAAGATCCCTCCTGATGAGTGTCCCCAGCTCCCCTTTTGCATCGCTCTCCTCCACCCCTTTTCACAGTAGGGTTCTCACACTTCCTTGACATCACCCCCCCCCAACAGTACTATCCTCTGTCCCCTTCACTGAAGAGTACTCTGCCCCTTTTTACATAATCCCCCCATGTTACTGTCCTCAGCCCCCACATTACTGTCCTCAAGCCCCCCCCCCCTTATGCTACTGTCCTCAGCCCCCCTCCATGTTACTGTCCTCAGCCCTCCATTCCTGCCCTCAGCCCCCCATGTTACTGTCCACAGCCCCCTCCATGTTACTGTCCTCAGCCCCCACATTACTGTCCTCAGCCCTCCTTGTTCCTGTCCTCAGCCCCCCTCCATGTTACTGTCCTCAGCCCCCCTCCATGTTACTGTCCTCAGACCCCCCTCCATGTTACTGTCCTCAGCCCCCCATTACTGTCCTCAGCCCCCCATTACTGTCCTCAGCCTTCCTTATTACTGTCCTCAGCCCTGCATTACTGTCCTCAGCCCTGCATTACTGTCCTCAGCCCCCCCACATTCATTTCTCGCCCCCCATGTTACTGTCCTCAGCCCCCTTCCATGTTACTGTCCTCAGCCCCCCATTACTGTCCTCAGCCCCCCATTACTGTCCTCAGCCTTCCTTATTACTGTCCTCAGCCCTGCATTACTGTCCTCAGCCCTGCATTACTGTCCTCAGCCCCCCCACATTCATTTCTCGCCCCCCATTCACACTAATGTCCTTAGCCCCTTTAACTTTGCCCCCCCACTGTCCTACCTTACACAGATAATAATTGACAGAAAGTGATTGATTGCTAGGGCTGCCCTTCATCCTAGCAACCAATCACCTGCTTGTTAACCTCGGGCAGCTCCCACCCTCCATCCAGAACTGTCCTACCTCCCGCTGTCAGCTCTGTGAGGATGACCGTGAGACAGCTGGGGAAGAAAAGGCTGCATGGGTCCAGATGGGACAGTGACTCGGTCCACATCCGGACCCTGGTCCGCCATTTAGTGATGCTTGAGTAAAGTTCGATTGTGACTTGTATGGTGAGCCTAATACAACAAACACACAGGTGATAGAGAAGGTTTTCTAGGGGACAGTCTAACTATTTTGAGTTTTGGCTGTAATTTCTGTAATAGATTAATTCCTATAAACTTCAGCTCCATCTACTGGCCAAAAAACAGTATACTTTCTTATTGAGGTATTTAATTATAATGCATTTGGGCAAGTAGGTGGAGCTTAGGAATATAGGAATGAATCTATTACAGATATTATAGCCAAAATGTGTGCAACCTGCCTGCCAACCAAAACAAATGTTTTGTAAACAGACCCCAAAGTAATACCTACTTTAATCTATGGTCCCTCAGTCTTCCTTTCAACCTTTCGGTTGACATGACCAGTCCCCTGAAAATGTTATTTTTGCCAATTTCAGACCGGTTTTTATCACTGACGTCATTACGTATAATGCAGGACCAGCAGCAACATTCCATCCTGCATTGCACATGAGAGAAGTATGGCATATTTTCAGTGAGTACATATTTTTAAATATCATCACAGCATTTGCCTTTTTGTCTAACCCCAGGTTCACACCTAAGTGTTTTCTGCAGCATTTTTGTGTTTTGCAGAAACGCAGTACAGTCCATTTAACATGACTTCCTATGGGACAGGTTCACGTCTCTGTGTTTTCACCCTGGTGCGTTTGTTTGGAAAGGGTCAGGGACTTTTTTTTAACTCAAACGTTGCGTTTTTGGTTGTATAGACTTCAATGGGAACACTGCAGAAAAGCAGGTATTGCGTTTTTTGCTTTGTTTTGTGGTTAAAATCTGCCTAGCAACAAAAAAAAAAAAAAAGCAAAACGCATCAAAAACACAAGTGCAAAAACGCAATGCAAAAACATAGTTACATAGTTAGTCTGGCTGAAAAAAGACAAAAGTCCATCCAGTTCAACCATAGAAAAAAAAAAATTATAATCCTACACCCACAGTTGATCCAGAGGAAGGCAAAAAAAATACCCCAGCAAAGCACGATCCAATTTGCTCCTGCAGGGAAAAAAATTCCTTCCTGATCCCCCGAGAGGCAATCAGATATTCCCTGGATCAACTTTACCTATAAATGTTATATTCAGTTATATTCTGTGTATCCAAGAAACAATCCAGGACTTTTTTGAAGCAATCCACTGAGCTGGCCAGAACCAACTCTTGAGGGAGTCTATTCCACATTCTCACAGCTCTTACTGTGAAGAAACCTTTCCATGTTTGGAGATTACATTTCTTTTCCTCCAGACATAAAGAGCGCCCCCTTGTCCTCTGTGATGACCTCAGGGTGAATATAGTTACACAGTTAGTCTGGTTGAAAAAAGACTAAAGTCTATCAAGTTCAACCATTAAAAAAAATAAAAAATAAAAAAAAATATCATCATCAAGAACAAAATTCTCCAGGATTATTCAGAGTTCAGAGGGTGAAAACGCAATGCAGAAACGCATCAAACACAGCCTGCATAGGCGTGAACCTAGACTAAAGCAGGCCATTCAAGTCAGTGTTGATGCCGGAAATTCCTCCCACAGTGCTATTGTGTTCTGCCGATGCGGGGGCAAAACACAATGACCACTGCTGGTGGCTATCACTACCGGCAGTGATCAAAAGAAAAAAAATCAATAGATTGACTTGAGTGCAGCCAGCCTGCCCATAGATGGATCGATTCCCTGCTGAACCAGTTAAGATATGATCCATCTACGGCCGGCATGGATTTTACATGCTTGCTTTTACATTTTTGCAGCTGCATTAACCCCTTTGCTGCCAGTCGCTGCCGCTACCGGGATTATGTATAAAACTGCAAGCAGACTCCTGCCTGTCAGATAGAAGCAGTCAGGCGGCTGTGCTGCCGTCCAATTGCTTCCATATACCGTTGGTAACAACGCCCCCCATGCCCCTGCCATGTGGTCCAAGCTCCACTTGCCCATCTGAGGGCATGGGTTCAACATGGCGGTTGGAGAGAAGGGAAAAAAGTGGACACACATCCAGGGGCGGACTGACCATTCGAACACTCGGGCAGTGCCCGAGGGTCCGGGGTCAGTAGGGGGCCCCATGAAATGCCCCTGGTACTTTTTTTATAGGCTTTTTTGGGTGTGCTTTGAGTTTGGGCAAGGACACAGGGGCCCCATGATCCCTTATTGCCCGGGGGCCCCATGAGTTGTCAGTCCGCCCCTGAAACATCCATTCATCTCCCCTTCTTGCCGTGCCCGGAAAGCGACGTGTATGACGTCACTTCCCAGTCACGCTGTCACTTTCCCCAGCTAGCCGGGGAGGAATGTATTGCAATGCCATGCAATACATTAAAGAGAACCTGTCACCTAAAAATCACCAAATAGAGGACTTTGTGTCCCCTATGTCATGAAAAAAAAAAATTTTATTGCAAAAAAATAAAGTTACAACACGAGTACATAACATCCCCCCTAAAAAATATTTGTGAGGCCCCCACGTATACACACGTTCAAACGTAAACACATGCGTCGGGGGCACCTGCACACGAAAACGTCGATTGTGATACACGTTACATATTGCCGCGTTCACCAGACTGAGAACAATAATTCTAGGACCAGACCTCCTCTGTAACACTGAACTGATGACCTGTAGGGGCTTTTGAAGCGTCGCCTATAGAAAATACAGGGTACTGAAGTTTGTCTCCATTTCATCGGGCTCACACAAATTTAAGGTTTGACATGTTGGGTATCTTTTTACTCGGCATAACCTCTTTTGTATTTTACCAAAAATATGGGTGATTTATTGCATTTTTTTACCCTAAAATTCACCTTAGTGTGTTTTTTTACTGAAATTTTGCGTTTCCTAGACCTTTG